AAGGGAAGGGGCAGCAGGGCTGGGGGCCAGGAGCTTTGGGTGGGGGGCAAGGGACACAAGCCCCTTGCCCTCATTTTGTTTTTCTGCCATGCTGGCACCCTGGCACCTTCTGAATGCATTATGGTGTTTTTTGGCACTCCAGCCAAAAAAGGTTGCCTACCCCTGAATTATGGTATATTAAAATAAATAAGATCTTGTGCCCATTAAGTTTTCATTTCAACTGATCCAGTAAAATATCTTTACTTTTATTGGTTTACTTCCATTTCCAAGGCAGAACACTGGTCTTTTGCTACTATCCAAATTTTCACTCCAAACTGTTATCCCACATGCAATTCGTGTGTGATCTATATTGATTTACACACAGTTTGGCTGCGCCAATTTTTTTCCAGAGAGAGCTCTAAATTTGTGCATTCTCTTGTTTGTGCACATATGTATATTTATGTGCACAAAATGGGTAGAGAGGCTGCTCTACCTAACACACAGCAATGCCTGTTTTAGGGCTGAATAGAGCAGATTTTGGAAAAAGGCATGTAATTATGCCCAAACAATTCCCCCTCCCCTGCCAGGATTCCTTATTTCATTGTTTCATAATACCCTGGAAATCTATAGGAATAAAAAACAACATACTACTCTGGGGGCCTATGTAATGCAAAAGTGGTGGTTATACCCCTTCCTAATCATATCACTAGCTGGCAGGGACCAGATAGAGAGTTCATGTAATGATCTTGAGTGACAAACTGGGCACATCTACACCAGATGCCTTAATGAGCAGTGGACTGTTCTTCTGCACATTAGCACATTGCAGCAAAAACTGTGCTAATGCATTATTGCACAGTAAACTTAGTCTACCACATACTGTCACAAAAAAAGTTTGCCTTTGCTACTGCGCATTAGCACAGCTACTGCACCTTTACCTAGTACCTCATATTAGAGATACTAAACTTAATATGCAGTAGCAAAGGTGCATTAATGAACATGCAGAGGCACCCACTGAGTAACAGACTGGGGACAACTCATCCAAAGTGTGGGTATCTAGTAATGTACACAGAGTTGAACACAGTTTGCTTCTTTTTTGAATCAGCAATAATTCTCTCTGTGGAGAATGTTGTTCTCAGACCTCCCTCAGCAAAGACTGTGTTACCAACCCCTCCCCTTGGCTCTCCTATCTAAATAGAAAAGCCAGAATCTCACCAGAGATTTCAAAATCAGTTCTTATAACATACATATACTATTACAAACCAAGAATACACGCAATTGTGCCCACATGGAAAGGAACAGCAACTGCTTTATATTGTACACATGACCAGAGTTTGGGAAAAGAAGTAAAGAAGTATGTTTTCTAGCTAAAACTCTGCAGAGCATGCCTTCTAATTTAAGACAGTGTTATGAGCACTTATGATTTAAAGAAATCTTTGATTTTTAAAATGAAATCTAGCAAGTGGTTATTCTATTATGTCTTCAGTTGCCACTGTTTTCAATTTGGAAACTATCCCATGCTGTAAATTCACTTGAAAACAAACAGAAGAATTTGTTCCAAGGTGAAACTTAGCTTAAGATGTTTAATCCAAAATTTACTAAGTTATTAATTCACAAAAATGTGGTTTCATATTTGAATGGAAAAATACAATATTAACTCTATCAGTTTAAGGTCAAACACTGACATGGGTATCATTGGTTACCTTTTGCTCTTCATAGGCTTCTTTCAAACAAACGTAGTTAGTAAGAGCTCGCATTGCTATTGGCAGCTTCCCAATTGCCTTCAAGTCAATTGGTTTCTTGTGAGCAGATATAATAAGTGTATTCATCCACCAGTAAGTCGCTTTTGAGAGAAGATTGACAAATGGTTGAAGAAATCTCACACCCAGATCTTGTAGGTCTTCAGGTGGCTTTACTTTCTGAGGATTCATGGAAAATACATACCTCTGGGGAGAGGGATTAAAAAAAACAACATATGTTTAATAATTATCTCATTTAACAGTAGTTTTAGGTGTTCAAGGGTCTATCCACACTAACTGCATGCCAAGCCCAGAGTACTATTGAGAAGTACACCTTGCCTACCCACTCCTGCTCCATGTGGGCTAACTCCTGGAAACTGGGCAAAGTAATCCTAATTATGTAGTCCTTAGAGGGATCCTAATTATGCTCCATTAAGCATGGCTAAGACAGTAAACATAAGAGCAGCACTGAGTGTGCACTCAAAGCCATGCTAAAGAGAGAACACTGCCTCCTTTCTTGGATTATCCAGACATTGGGTGGGAACAAGTGGGAAAGGTGTGCTTTTCAGTGGTGCTCCTAAGTTTGACACAGAAGCAATGTAGACAAGTCTTACATTTGGATTTAGGTGCTTAGATATAGCTTTTCAGAAATGTTGCCTTGAAGGTAGGTCCAATGCAAAGGATTCATATACATGGATTATAGATGGTCAAATTACATACTGGTGGCAAAGTCAAAAGTTGTTACAACTGAAGGGCCAAATCAGGACTGGAGTTCTATTGTGCTGGGCACTATACATATATACAGGACCAGATCCTATTCCACCCATAAAGAACCCCATTGTGCTCACTTTTGTAACACATGCTTGTCTTAGCTTTAAGACAAAGTTACAAAAAACAGTCAGCAAGAGGGGCAACTGTCCACTTTGTGTAATAACGTTTTTTCAGGGACTCAAGCAGGATGGGAAAGAATCACACTTAAGTGTCTAAATTTACTCAGGCACCCAATAGGTGGACTAAGACCTGGCCCACTAATTCTTGCTTGGTCACAATCTAGTATGCAATTAATCCTAAAACAATGCCTCTAAAACCTGTATACTATACTACACCAGAATGCAAAGGTAACATATACTACAGAAAGGCTATTTAAAGATATATTTGAGAAACTATGGGCGTGTGTGCGCAACATTTTAAAGCAGGCAAGATGCTTCTGCACTGCTTTAATCGTGTCGGTGTTTGCATGCCTTGGTGGAGTATTGCATCTTAAATGACTTGGGGCATAGCAAATTAAAACGCCTTCGAGGAATTTTAGTTTGCTGCTCCTACAGTCACAGAGCAAAGAACTAGGCTCCATGCAGCTCAGGGGTTCTGCAGAAAGCCCTGCAGGCAGCCTGGCAGCAGCCCAG